ATTTGAGACGTTCTTAGAGAGGGCACTTAATCCAAGTCGAAAATCGGCAACACCTTTACATGTATTCGTCGATAACGCACTCGCAACGAACGATAGACGATGCGGAAATTATCCTCGCATTATTCACGGCGCGGCGGCGAGCGGTATTGAAAATTGGAGACGTGAGATTGCCGGAAAGGGAAAGAGACAAAAATCAGCGTCGTTTTTGAAGCGACGTGACGACGTCACGTACGTACGTTCGCCACGGCTATATAACCGCGAACGTGCTGTCTGCCGACCGCGCTCGTATAAACCCGAAACTGTCTGCCGATTTTTCGAGGGGACCCTAATTTTTGTGGCAGGACGATTCTCAGCCAATTTACTGCTACGCCGCGCACAAAAACGCGCTACCTGCTACGATAGAGTGAACCAATAGATGCGGCGATTTGTCTGCGGTTTCATAGAATTAAGAAATTATCGCCATCTGTCAGCTCGACGAAAATTGAAAAGATAATTTATTGTCGATAAATAAACGATGGCGCGCAAGATTATATTTCTTTCTCTCTCGCTAACACACATTGTCCTTTTACTTATTTTCTAATGATAGATTAGAACGTAATTCGTAGTACGATTAAGAGAGAAGTGATCCTTCATATAAATATAAACAAAAGATATGGAAAAAGTATTTTCGGACGAACCTTCGCTCTCTCTCTCTCTCTCTCTCTCTCTCTCTCTCTCTCTCTCTCTCTCTCTCTCTCTCTCTCTCTCTCTCTCTCTCTTCGGGAAAAATTAAATTTTAAAAATTCGTCATGTAATTACGTATAATTAAACACGACTTGGCTAACGCGTGTCATTCCATTACTAAGTATTTTTATCCGTATTAGGATTTATATCGAAGATATAAAACACGATCCAGTCCTGTGAATCTATTTCTATCTTGAAGAAAATTGCAAAGTCGCTCGATCATGTTACAAACTTAGAAGCACAACGTAACGTGATTATCTCAGCAAGACCGTGTGTGGACACGATTTTCCGCGTAAACATGCCGCGAAGTGAGAATTCCGTCAGTTAACCGCGACAAAAAACCAACAAAGAGCAATTTTCACGGTCGAGTATGAACGAATCGACGATTATGTTGTTCGAGCCGGATTACTTGGCGCTCGGTGGCGGAAATCGGTCAAGCGCGAACGCTCGTCGACGTAAAGAGCGGATTAACAAAGACATCCGACAAGACGGAGGCTAGGCGACGTAAGAACCGAAGGGCGGATTCCTTTTACGACGATCGCGCGACCATGTAAAGGATACCTGCGGACAAGTAGTATGAATTATCTCTTACACCCCGCTGTCCCGGCCGACAGCTCCGTTCGCGATGCTTTTTCTCGCCCAGTCTGTCCCGTAGATGGCGATATAAGAAGCGCGAGAGAAAGAGCGGTAAATACTCCGCCGTAAAACTCGATCTAAAAAGCTGATCCTCATCGCCGTCGAGCGACATTGGGAAAGCGCGAGGTCGTTCGCTGAGAATAACTCTCACGGGTTTCGCTCTTATGAGTCGTTCACTTTGTCAGCGGCGTCGATGAGTCCACTTTTATGAATTTAGCGAGAAACAGTACATTCTTAGTCGCAATCATCACGATTATTATTGCTTCTCCACTATTCATGTTTCTAATTAAAATTTATTCAAAAGTGTCTTACGTCTCTGTAAAAAAACTACTGTAAGATTTTTCCTACATGTACACACACACACACACACACACACACACACGGAAGGTCTCGCGAACAATGTCTCTAATAATGAACAAAGTCTCAACAATTCGTACGAAATTCGATAGTAACTAGAGACACGATGACACGAGCTCTTTCAATAATATTTATTTTATCCAAGATATTTGAATTTATCGATAGTTTCCTGTTGTATATAACGGTGCAGTACACAATGCCAGATAATACTAGACGAGTGCAATTCAATATTGTACACACACACACATGCAATTCTTCATTCCATTTGAAACGACGTCGAAATACGGAAGTATCATCGTGGATAAAGACGATAAGGTGAGTCGTTGGAGGAACAAATTAAGGCTCGTCGACTTGTGCCTCGTTTTCGATCCGGAAACTTGAAGCCGTGCTGTTGCGCAGAGTTAACGCGCGCGCGACTCCATCGCCGATAAGTTTTGACGTCCAGCCTGTGTATCCTGTGTAACCGAGAACCGCGGATTCATTTTTACAAGACGGCCAACAGACCAGGGTATACTCATTAACCAGCACGCAGTATCGAATTACACGCTGCCTTTTTCCTACGAGACTCTTGAGCGAAACGAGAAGAAGCGCGGTACATTCGAGAATTTCGCTTCTCATCGCTTCTTTCATTCCACGAAACTCGCATTTTTCGCGCGCATGGAAGAGATAACAATCGTGAGTATAAACCTCTCGTATGACTTGTAAGAAAAATCCTGATATCCGGAGCACATTAAAACGTAATTAGCTCTTCAGCAAGCAAGAGAAAGAATCGCGCAAATATGAGAAAAGTTAATTATCCGTGTCGGATTAAGTAAAGTAAACGAAAAAAGCGTGAGTTAGAAAGCCGGCACAAGTCGAACGCCTTAATTGAGATATATCTCTCAATTTGTTGCAAATGAAGGATCAGACGTTGCCTAAAATAGCAACGAGAAGGAGAGAAACATACAGTTCGTAAAGTCTGGCGAGTAGAATGCGAATGGAAAAAACTGGAGCAGACTTTTACTCAACGCGCGCGCGCGCGCGCGCGCGTGCGTGCGTGCGTGCGTGCGTGCGTTGTTCGCCCGAATTTTTCGCCCCGACGAAAATTACAGAGCATGAGTCGTCAGAGTTCATGCCAGATGCTGCAATCGATCAATCGTGGGAGTATTCAGGTAGGAGTTAAGCCAGAATCGATCAGCGACAAACAAGAATGACGCAAGTGCCGCGAGTATTATTCAGCGCCGACATTACGTAATGATACTAACGAGCAGGTTATAAACAAAAGGGGACCGCTTGATCGACTGGATTTCTGGAAAACAACGCACGTTATGAAAGCAAATCCCGTGCGTGCGCATCGCTTGCTCATTAATCGATAACGCGAAACGCTCATCAGCTGAAAAATCTTGCGTATTACATTTGTGTAAAAATACACACAGAATGTTGTAGAATCTCGTTAGATCCTCCGACTGATCCGGATCAATTCTTCCGGTTGATTTTAAATTGTTATATTATTACTCCCTATAGTTCTCTTGTAATAATAGTATAATAACTATATAATAGTAATAATAGTATGAACATAACAATAAAATTAAAATTAAAATAAACGAAAGCTAAACAAAAAGCTCTCTTCCTTCCGTTGTACAATCACAGAAAATACAACAACGCGATGAGAAATGACAATAAGATCGAAGAGCAGCCAATAGTAATCGCACCGTAAAATTAAATTATCAAACTGCGCAGTAAAGCGAAAAACCTCTAACTCCCCTTGTTGTATCCGATCACATAAAGTACGACCAGGACAAGAAATCACAATGAGGTCGAAGAATCGTGGCGCCTCGGAGAGCGTTCGAGGCGCGTATCGCCAGACTGATCGGAAAAATCGACGTCCAGCGAACAACGTCGGGACAAGATAAAGGTGCATCAGATACGCGGAAACGGGGGCTTTTTCCGCGCGTAAAATACGAGATGCAAGGACGCGCACCTGCGCGACAGCTTCGGCTGGCGAACGAAAGACGACGACGACGACGCCGACGTGACGTACCGCCGCCACCCCTCAACCCTCGAGCACCCCCGCGAACGAGTGAACGAGCGCCACGAAGGGAGAATAACAACGTTGAATTCCTGCGATTCGCTCGGGCGCAAGAAGCTCTCTCTCTCTCTCTCTCTCTCTCTCTCTCTCTCTCTCTCTCTCTCGCATTACGTCGCCCCACAAGGCGACGGTCTGTCTCGCGAAGAGTTCGTCCCGGGGATGATATATACCTCCGACCTGCCGATATGGAGAATCGTCCGAAAAGCCATACCGTTTCTAGTACGCGTAATCGCACCGCTATTCATTATCCGCGACAGTAGTCGGGTCGAAATGCTAATCTGTCCGTTTCTTATAACGCTGCCGGAATGGATCCAGGCCACAAGAGGGAGGAACGTAATTCCGATCCGTGCAAAAAGCACCGAAGCGCGTTCGGTTCACCATGACCGAACACTCGACGCAAGCGGGTTAGTACGTATTTCACACGTCGTGGCGAGAAGTTTGCCGGATATGCTGATTGGCTGTTCCCGAAGCTAAGAACAGCTGGAAATCGCGAAATTTTCTGGGGTAACGTTTAGTAGTAATAGTAGTAGTAGTAGTAGTAGTAGTAGTAGTAGTAGTAGTAGTAGTAGTAGTAGCAGTAGCAGTAGCAGTAGCAGTAACAGTAATAGTAACCTCTCTCCTGCTGATGCATTGTAATGCACATGTGACACAATATCCCGCTCGTTATTAATGTTTATTATATTAGTCTATTCTCTCCCATATTGTATCTTTCGCCCATTAACATGTTTCTTAATCACGCGCGCGCGTTTTCGTAAGGATAATAAATCGGAAAAAATGCAACACGATTCAAACGACTATAATCAAACTTGCGATTGTGATTGTAACAATAACATTTCGATGAAGAGCTTCATTCAGCTCGGGTCGTGGGAGAGGGAAATGGAGAGTGTGTGTGTGTGTGAGAAGGAAAGGAAGAAAAAAGAGTATAACTGTTTTAAAGATAAAATTAAAAGCAGACCAATCGATCGGATTCTGACGAATCAAGCGTTTCCCAGAAGTTTCTGAAACGTTTCAAACATTTCAAACAAGTGGACAAGAGTGCGCCTTCGCTCATTGAAAGACAAAGCGGCTCCATCTGGGGCGCAATTCGAAAGATCAACGCTTCTCTTCCCGTGCCGACGTTGTCTCCTTCGCGTTTGGTCCATAATAGCGGCAGATGTTTTTAACGAGTGCTCTATCCTATACTTTCCTTTATCCACTGGCTCTTGAACCTCCGCAGGCGGCTGATGTTTAACCACAGTGGCGGCACGACTTTTTATACCACCTGCCGAGACGCCGCCTTGGATTTTCAATCTCATTGAACCGCTTGCGGGGAGAGGATCGCCGAAACAAAAGAATCGTCAGTAGTAGCAGAAAGAGGCGGTAAGTGGACAAAGAGAGAAATAGGTAGATAGATAAATTCGAGCACATTTATATATTCACATTTTGAGGTTTACCCCTTAAACCACGAAACTACATGCACGAGAAGAAATATCGAGAGCAAGCAAAAAGAGCGGGAAAGAGGAGAAAGAGATTAAATTTCACGTCAGCTTTTAATGCTTTTAATTTAACTCACCGTCGTCGTTAAAATATTAATTTTGATCGTTTAAACGAAGCTAATTATCGGTAACGTCATTTAACGGATCACTGCCCGCGGCTGATAATCAAACCGGCCCCCCTCCCCTCCACCTTCCATTATTTCGCGCGAGTTTAAAAGTCGCGTACGATCCCATCGACGGATAAATAAAACGACATAAATTAAATCTACGATTTGTAATGTACATGGAATCACACATGCCTCGTTAATTCAGATTGATGGAATAAACTTCCTTCAACGCACATAACGTGTATTCGCAAATGTTTAACGCGCTATTTTATCGCTGCTAAGTCCTTATTTAACGAAACGATTGTCGCGCGAGTCGGCGATCGATTCGGTTGCGCCGCGAGAATGCGAATAACGAGAGACGATGAGTCCAGCGTGATTTTTATGTCGCTATTAATCGATCGGTAGTTCTTGATGCATTTTGCGGCTCATTCCGCCAGTAATAACCCCGAGCTGATTTTTGCATTCCTTACGGCGAAATCGTTACGCGGATTTGTCGTTGTTCGCGTGAATGAAAGGCGATGCGGCGTTATATCGCGAGAAAGGAAGTTACGCGGCATGCAGTACCGCGCGGATTGCATGGACGCGAGCGGATCGAATATAATAAGCATTATAATGCGTAGCCGTAGCCGCTCTTTCGCGTGCCTACTCGTTCACTCGTGCAAACGAGGATAATATCGAATAGGAGGAAAAAGCAATTCCAATGCTGCGCGTTGTTAAATTGAAAGCACCACGATATGGGAGGAGCGTCGGTACAAACACACCCCGAGGTTATTAAATAGATTACGTATTACAGAATTATTTGTGTTATTTTGTGTATTTTGTTATTCCTACCATACCGGGATACTTTTATCGTTTATCGTTGTAAACGAAATATTTTGCACCTCATTGAGATCTAACAATACGTGCGAACGCGAGTAAATAATAATATTTTATTTCAGAGAACAATATATAGAGAAAAAATTCATAAAGATGTGACAATCGGATAATATAAAATATCTCGAGGTAAAACGACACAGCCGAACACCGAACAGTAATGGAGCTGGTAGCTGTTCGATATCCAGAGTGTGTGTGTGTTTGCTCTTATCTAAATAAAATTATATAATTATCCAGATAGTGCGGTCGTGCGCTATTAGTAGCGCCAAGGCGATATTCTGCCTTACTAGCAGCTCCTTTATATATATATATATATATATATATATATATAAAATGTTATGTAAGAACGCGCTGATAGCAATATAAAATATACGGTAACAAATTGTTCTCCCTCGCAAACTTATATCTTTTCGTTCCCCGACATTATCGCACGATCCGTGCACGGTCTCGACGATTCTCGCTGTCGTCACGCTGACGCGGCGATTAATTCCCCCCGGCCGACTTGCCGAAAAGCAGAAATCGTGTCTGGTTCACAGTTATTCCCGCCACAGTAAACGCGATAGACGCGTTTACTGATCATCGATCCGTGGATAAATTAGATCTGCCGGCGCGGCGGAGCGGCCCGTCCTTCTGCGAGACGGCCGGGGAACCGTTCGGACCGTTCGCCACCTGTCGACGTCGGAGCACGTGCCACCACCTGGAGGTCCGCCTGTAGTAGCTGCAGAAGTGCAGTCGATGCACCAGCCGCGTCTCACTTAGCCACCTTTCCAAGAACGTACGTGACGAAATGTTGCACGTGGTCAACGACAAGCGCGTTTACGCCTTGCCGTTCCGCATATGACGAGCATAATGGAATTTCGGTTGAGCGCGATAAATGCGTTATAACGTTACGATTATGAAAACTGTTTTGCCGCGCAAACAAATAAATATAATAGGTGCACGAAAAGGCTGTAGTAGCAATAAGCATGCCGATGCACGGACGATTTTCTCGACTTTTCTCATTCGGTTAACGGCCTCTTCTCGCTGTCGTCGTTCTCGCTGATTAATAAACGGTGTCGTTAATATTTCGTCGTGAGATTTGCCATTACATTTTACGTAACACGTGTGTCTACAGCGAGATTCATGTTCGCAGATTATGAGACACGTGGCACGATAGCGCGTTCAATTTGCGTACATGTGTAGTTACGACACGGTCGTAAACACAATTGAAATCTCGATAAAATGTTTTCACATTTCTATTGTTGAATTAACTACCTGTGTACCTGTGCAGATAATGGTCTTGCTTGATGTGTCCAAAATTAAGAGACTCGAAGGAGTCTCTGTAGTAAAGCAGGTTACTACACTCTGTCATTTATATATCAAACTTATCTTGCGCCATAACACACTTTTAGGACACTTCAACCAAAAAATAAACGTAGTAAGAAGTTTTACATATTATGAAAAATATCGCCCCGAGCGATACTCAGATACACGAACAAGCTCAATTGTATTTCTTCTGATTCAGATAATAAACAAGAACAATATCAATACGCCAACCTCGTACAATTAACTCTCTCAGCAGTCCTTTCGGCTAGCTCTTCGAGCTCTTCTTTAATATGCATAATATATGCATCTTATTATCTTTATCACCTTAACGACATTTGCCGATCGATTAAGTGCCACTTAAAAACCCGATTGATATCATTACCACTGGAGTCACAGAAAAATAAAAAAAAAAGATTGATTTTAGTAGCATTTAGTGGCTAGTTACCGTTTTATTCGCGGCGACTACATTTCTTCCGAGTCGGTCAGCCGTGACGATATCGTTGAGAACTCTGATTATCATAATTCTATTTTGTCTGAGCGGATGAGTCAGCTAAGAAGTAGGGCGAGGTAGCGGAGCAGGACGGGAGAGGAGGTTATCGTCGTAATCGAAGCGATCCGCTGAAGATTGGCCGAGATCACCGTGCTTGCATTCAACGACCCTGACGAGAAGGCAAAGTTTAACGCGTGGATAGTCAAGCGGTTTCGTCAAGCGTGAAGTTGCGACTCGAGCTCGTACATCTTGTACTTTGTAGCTGCCGAACTTGGCTAACTTTGCACAATCACGCGGAACTTGCTCACGATGCCTCTAACCAAACACTTGCGTAATGTTGCCGAGAGGAAGAAAAACTGATCCGACTCCCCGCCTACTACTGTCAAACGCGTTTACAAATCGCACCGTACGAAACACTTGAGCTGGATAAAGAGTTGCGGAAGCTACGGGGGTTTCCTCTCGAAACGGTATCAGACATCTGTAAGGATACACAAGACGTTCCAGTTGAACGATCAAACTTTGCCAGTATATTCTACGAGTAAAGAGAGAGAGAGAGAGAGAGAAAGAGAGAGAGAGAGAGAGAGAGAGAGAGAGAGAGAGAGAGAGAAAGGAGAGAGAAATAAGATAAAAAAACCATAATATAAACATAGGTTCAGTAAATGCTTTATTATAATGTGTTATAACCAATATATTAAACGTAAAAAATAATAACGGGTTCATTGTTGATACATCGTGATGTAAAAGTAACTCAACGATGCTTATTTTGTTGCATTCGTTTGTTCTAGTCATATTTATTATTTGAAATTATTCAAAATGGCCAATTCCAATGAATAAGCAAATTCGTTATTACAAATGAAACAAATTTATGTAAAAACGTTTTAAAAATAAACGTGGTTAAAATGCTTATATTATATATGAAATAGATTTATGTGTAAATTGAACTGTTATTATTATTATTTTATGTTGAATTTACATTCAACAATTGTAAGAGATCAGAGACAACATATCTGATATTCAAGTGTCAGATTAATAAAAATATAATTTTAAAAATTTATAATTTTAAAACGTAAATTTCGAGAGCCAAAATTTATGTGTTAATTATAACATATAATAGAGATGCTCTGGTTTTATTCGATACATACATTCTGTATTACCGATGATAAATTTTGCATATCAAATTTTACCGAGAATTTGTATTAATTTTCCTCAATAATAATCGCCACTTATTAAATTAATTTATTTCATATTTTAAATATATGATAAATATGTCACTTTTTCTTCTATTCTTGATCTGTGTGGGAGAGAGGAAGAGAGAGAAATCGTACTCGTTGTGAACCGAAACGTGACGCGCGCGCGCACATTCATGACAGTAAACACGAAGTTTCATCGCAGTTACGCAACAACGGGTGCCTTTAATCAGCCGCTCTATGTAAGTCGTAGATACACGCTCAGCACGTAGCAGCGACGAGGCGTATAAACAGGTCAGAGGCTGGCGCCACAACGAGTATTATCCAATGAAAGAGAGTAGATGGGGGGGAAAGAGAGGGAAGAATACAGACAAATTATTCTATATAAGATAATCGCTTCTGATGCACCGACTCTTCCTCTTCTTCCTCTCTCATCCGGCCCGCACAGTTGATCAACGAGCCATGATCTCTTCTGGGAAAGCATACCTCACCGTTGCGTTACTTGTTGCGCGTCGATACTCTAACCGACTGTAAAAAACCGCCGTAAAAATGACTGTATAAATCTTATCCTTACAGCGTCGAACGACGTTGTGGTGGTTTTACTCCCTTCTCCTCTCACCCTCTCTCACTCTCTCTTTCTCGTACATTAAAATTTGTAACGTATACAGTATATAGATATTAATACCGCGCTGCTGTTGTGAGCAGCTTGGCGATTTAACGTATAAACGCAGTGACATTTTGATGGATGCACAATATAAATATTAACTTTGGCTGTGTATAAATAAAATAGGATGCCATACGGAAACATCGTATTTAATGAAGCTGCATGATGGTGATATCAGAATTGCAAATTGACGGTTTGCAAATTTAGCAATTTTTTAGCTTTCCATGAAACGTGCGAATAATCGAATTTCGCCTCTATTAATCGTTACAGTTGTATTTCTTCGATATAATATCGTGTATTTTGTTGATCTCTTCCTGCACTTTCCTGCACTTTCGAGCGATAAATTAAAGCAGAATGTCGATTTTCTTTCCCCTCCTATTCTATAACAATTCTATAACAATGTTTATCTTTGTGTATATTTAAGGGAAAAACCATCGAAACAAACAAACAAATATATGCATCGTAAATTGTATTTACTTTGTATTTACTTTTTTGGTGATTACAACTTTAGTTGAGTGTTAAAGTATGTACAAGTAGCACGTCTGTTCTGTGAATTAAGAGCGATTTGTGCATACCTTGCGGCAGTTTAATGCAGGGAATCGGCCACGTATCTTGCGAGAACGCGTGACCTTAAAAGACCGAACGATAACGGAACGCACATGGGAGAAGCATAGGGGCTCTATCGGGTCTTTATAGGCGAATTACGAGACGGGAACATACGGCCGATGTCATAAACCTGCGCAGGCAAGCAGTCTATATCTTTGACGGCGCTTTCACGAGAACATTCTCGTTATCTCTACTCTCGTTATCTTTCACACCAGGCCGTTTCAGCGTGGACGAATTCCGTGTACGGTCTTTATTATCCGCGATATCATCTCGAAAGAATGCTAACGCGCTTTGAATGCACCGTCGATGGTACTTGAAAGCATAACGGGAAGACAAGGTCGCTCGGGCTATCTTAATTAAGTGCATTTATCGCCGTAATCTCTAGTTTCACGCGTAAGAGAGAGAGAGAGAGAGAGAGAGAGAAATGTAGAGATTATCCCCGGAGAATTATTAAATTCGAACCTGATTAAAAGACCACCGATCAGTGACGCTCGTTCGTTAACAATCCTGATCACTCGTAAGAATCTAATCAGCCATTGAAATAGAAAATTGCAATTTACTCCGAAAAAAAAAAAGTTTTTGTAGAACTTACGTTGATTAAATATTGTTTATTTAATTTGGTGAATATTACATTTTGCAAAATTTTAAACCGGCTTTCCTTTTGGAATTTTTTATGTCAACGCGTTCGCATAACGATGAATAAAATAATTTTTTCTGCCCATTGCAAAGAATCACCTGTCTTCAGACAACAATTGCACGTACAAATTAAATAAATCCAATCAACACGCTTATCCCCCCGTCGTATCGCGAGTCTGAGACCCGCACGGTTAA